GGATTGGGATTGAGATTGGGATGGGATTGATGGGATTGGGATGGGGTGGGATTGAGATTGGGATTGGGATGGGATGGGATTGATGGGGTGAGGTGGGATGGGATTGAGATGGGATTGATGGGATTGATGGGGTGGGATTTGGGTTTGGATTGGGATGGGATTGATGGGATGGGATTGGGATTGATGTGATGGGGTGGGGTGGGATGGGATTGGGGTGGGATTGATGGGATTGGGATGGGGTGGGATTGATGGGATGGGATGGGGTGGGATTGGGATTGGGATGGGCGATCCCAAAGGCCTTTCCCAAGCCCACCAATTCCCGGCTATCCCGCAGGTTCCTGCACTGCGCCGAGAAGGACCTGGTGCCGTACCTGGAGAAGCTGAGCGACCCCACCCTGAAGGAGACGCTGGTGAACGGCGTCGGGTACCTGCACGAGGGGCTGACGGCCATGGAGCGACGCGTGGTGGAGCAGCTCTTCAGCTCCGGTGGGCGCCCAGCGGGATCGGGATCGGGAACGGGATCGGGATCGGGATTGGGATGATGGGATGGGATCCAGAGCCCAGCACTTCCCACTCCTGGAATTAGGGATAAACATCCAAGCTCTGGGGACACCTCAGAGCTCCTTCCAGACCTGGAGGAGCTCCAGGAGAGCTGGAGAGGAACTGGGGACGAGGGATGGAGGGACAGGACACAGGGAATGGGGAGATTTTGGTGGGATTTTGGGAAGGAATGAGGGTGAGGAGGAGTTGGGATGGAATTCCCAGAGCAGCTGTGGATCCCTGGGAGTCCCCAAGGCCAGGCTGGAGCCACCTGGGATGGAGAAGTTGTCCCTGCCCATGGTGGCACCTCAGAACCTCTCCCAACCCAACGCGCTCCGTGAATCTCCACCTCCCACCCCCAAAATCCTGGGATCTTCCCCATCCGGGCTCCGCGAGCGGCCGGAATTCCGGGATCGCTGACGCCGGGTGGCCTCGGTGTCCCCAGGAGCCGTGCAGGTGATGGTGGCCTCGCGCAGCCTCTGCTGGGGCATGAACATCTCGGCCCACCTGGTGATCATCATGGACACGCAGTACTACAACGGCAAAATCCACGCGTGAGCCGAGCCCTGAGCACGCGGGGCGGGGCGGGATTGGGATGGGATTGGTGGGGTGGGATTGGGATTGATGGGGTGGGATTGGGATTGATGGGATGGGATTGGTGGGATGGGATTGGGATTGGTGGGATGGGATTGATGGGATGGGATTGACTGGGTGGGATTGGTGGGATGGGATTGGTGGGATGGGATTGGGATTGGTGGGATGGGATTGATGGGATGGGATTGACGGGGTGGGATTGGTGGG